AGGGACAAAGCCGCCATCCCCTCTGGCCAATACATTGAATTGGATCTTAACCTCAACTTTTCTCCAGGAGGGATCAAAACTGCCACCCCCTCTGGCCCATACATTGAATAGGATCTTAACTTCAACTTTTCTCCAGGAGAGATCAAAACTGCCACCCCCTCTGGCCAATACATTGAATAGGATCTTACCTTGAAATTATCTTCATGATGAATCAAAACTGCCACCCCCTCTGGCCAATACGGTGCATAGGATCTTAACTTGAACTTATCTTCATGAGGCATCAAAACTGCCACCCCCCTCTGGCCAATACATTGAATAGGATCTTAACGAAACTTAGTGAATAGGATCTTACCTTGAACCTATCTTCATGAGGGATCAAAACTGCCACCTCCTCTGGCCAATACGATAAATAGGATCTTAACTTGAACTTATCTTCATGAGGGACAAAACCGCCATCCCCTCTGGCCAATACATTGAATAGGATCTTAACCTCAACTTTTCTCCAGGAGGGATCAAAACTGCCACCCCCTCTGGCCCATTACATTGAATAGGATCTTAACTTCAACTTTTCTCCAGGAGGGATCAAAACTGCCACCCCCTCTGGCCAATAATACATTGAATAGGATCTTACCTTGAAATTATCTTCATGATGAATCAAAACTGCCACCCCCTCTGGCCAATACGGTGCATAGGATCTTAACTTGAACTTATCTTCATGAGGGATCAAAACTGCCACCCCCTCTGGCCCATACATTGAATAGGATCTTAACGAAACTTATTGAATAAGATCTTACCTTGAACCTATCTTCATGAGGGATCAAAACTCCCCCCCCTTTGGCCAATACGATAAATAGGATCTTAACTTTTGTTGCTTATCTTCATGCGGGACAAAACCGCCATCCCCTCTGGCCAATACATTGAATAGGATCTTAACCTCAACTTTTCTCCAGGAGGGATCAAAACTGCCACCCCCTCTGGCCCATACATTGAATAGGATCTTAACTTCAACTTTTCTCCAGGAGAGATCAAAACTGCCACCCCCTCTGGCCAATACATTGAATAGGATCTTACCTTGAAATTATCTTCATGATGAATCAAAACTGCCACCCCCTCTGGCCAATACGGTGCATAGGATCTTAACATATCTTAACTTGAAATAATCTTCATGAGGGATCAAAACTGACACCCCCTCAGGCCAATACATTGAATAAGATCTTACCTTGAACTTATCTTCATGATGAATCAAAACTGCCACCCTTCTGGCCAATACGGTGCATAGGATCTTAACTTGAACTTATCTTCATGAGGGATCAAAACTGCCACCCCCCTCTGGCCCATACATTGAATAGGATCTTAACTTCAACTTTGCTCCAGGAGGGATCAAAACTGCCACCCCCTCTGGCTAATACTATGAACAGGATCTGAACTTGAACTTAACTTCCTGAGGGATCAAAACTGCCACCCCCTCTGGCCAATACGATGCATAAAATCTTCACTTGAACTTATCTTCATGAGGGATTAAAACTGCCACCCCCTCTGGCCCATACATTGAATAGGATCTTAACGAAACTGATTGAATAGGATCTTACCTTGAACCTATCTTCATGAGGGATCAAAACCGCCATCCCCTCTGGCCAATACGATGAATAGGGTCTTGACTTGAACTTAACTTTATGAGGGATCAAAACTGCCACCTCCTCTGGCCTATATAATGCGTTAGGGGTAAACCCTGCCCAAAGAGTGATCATCCGATACACTTACGTGGTACCGCCCCAATTGAATCATATTCGCTACATGTTACTACGCTGCTGAGATCTCCGGGATCGTTGCTACGTTGCTTGTTACTACGCTGCTGGGATCTCTGGGCTCGTTGCTACGTTACTTGTTACTACGCTGCTGATGGGGTAGGGTGGGGTAGGGGGGGCATGTCAACGTTCCTTGAACTTCGTACGTTATAGTGTGCTACACTGCTGAGATCTCTGGGATCGTTGCTACGTTACTTGTTACTACGCTGCTGATGAGGTGGGGTGGGGTGGGGTAGGGGGGGCATGTCAACGTTCCTTGTACTTCGTACATTATAGTGTGCTACGCTGCAACGATCTGTGGGATCTAAAACTACGTTACATGTTACTACGCTGCTGGCATCTCTGGGACCTTACTACGTTACTTGTTACTACGCTGCTGAGATCTCTGGGATCCTTGCTACGTTACTTGTTACTACGGGTTTCCAGTTTCCAATTATATCAGTTTCCAAATACCAATCTCAGTTTCCGAATACCTTTTTCCAGTTTCCGAATACGACTCCCAGTTTCCGAATACCACTTTCCAGTTTCCGAATACCACTTCCAGTTTCCGAATACCAGTTTCCGAATACCACTTCCCAGTTTCCGAATACCACTGTCCAGTTTCCGAATACCACTGTCCAGTTTCCGAATACCACTGTCCAGTTTCCGAATACCACTGTCCAGTTTCCGAATACCACTTCCAGTTTCCGAATACCAGTTTCCGAATACCACCTCCAGTTTCCGAATACCACTCGCCAGTTTCCGAATACCACCGTGACCCGGCGCAACGGGGTCGTCCGGTCTTCCGGTCGTCGGCCTGGGTCTTGTGGCCAGGACCTGGATCCCAAAGTGCGGATGCTGTTCAGTTCGGTGTCAGGACCTTGGCAACACACCAACAACTACAGTATACACACATTATGTATATTGTATGTATATATATATATGTATATGTATATATGTATATATGTATATACGTATATATGTATATATGTATATATGTATATATGTATATATGTATATATGTATATATGTATATATGTATATATGTATATATGTATATATGTATATGTATATGCGAATAGAGTGTAGGCTACGGGTCAGTGTACATTATCACTATTAGGCACTCTAAGATCCACAGCCGAAGGGGTACATGAAACCGACCTCTTTGGCTCAAGACCCACTGCAGTGTCAGAGAAAACAGTTGCAATGCGGAAGCTGATGCCCTTGTAACGTCATCACTGGAACATTCACCTTGACATTGACTATCAGGATATAATCGGACAGACAATCACCGATTCGCAGGTTATCAGCCGTAGGACTCCTACGGAGCCTACGAGCGGGTAGCCGCGGGCCTTACAGATGACTGAACAGGATAGCAGCGATAATGCATTTTCTTTCTCTGGACATGCCGTTGCACCAGCTGCCGGCACACAGTCAAATTCTTCACAGAGTATCGACACTGGTGGAAGCGATGCCTCAGAATTGAGAACAAGCCAACCCAGGCGACCTCTGGTTGCTCCTAGAGGGAGACAAATTTCGACAATGCAAGCAATTGAAGATAGGGACAGCACACCTGGAAAGAGAAGATCATCTGCACGACAATTGTCGCCTCCGATGACTCCAAGGACCAAGGCAAAGACTACGTCGTCGAATCCGCCTTCACCGATTCAGGACGCTACTCCATCAGGGACAGGATCTTATCAACAAGTGAACGCCCCATCAAGTGGTAGCGACATCTTCACTGCCTATCAGAGTGAATTAGCTGAATACAAGACATCACTGGAAAAGGCCACTGAAGAAGAATCCGTACTTCAGGCAAGATTGAGCGAGACGACTGCATATGCCTATCAACAATTTAATTTCCTGGAAAGCACCACTCATCAAGAGATGATGTCGATGACCGAACAACTCCAGATGCTGAACTTCGAGTTACAGGCTGCACAACAAGAAGATGAAGGTGCGACCTACAGGATCGAAGAGTTGGAAAGGTATCAGACTATGTCGAATGAAGCCGCATCTCATTTGGAATTCAAATATTCACGACTACGTTCGGAATTCGATGAACAAATGGGACAAGCGAACGCAATTATGGTGCATGTGGGCGCTGATGCGAATGCTCACATCAATCAACTCAGACTGGAACTGGAAAACGCAGAGATGAATGCCAAGCAAGAAGCTCTAGCAGTCGGCTATGCTAATGACCAAACATGTGCGTTGCAGATCGAGATGCTCGAGGTTGCCAATCAGAACCAGACGATGAAGCACACCATGGCCATGAATGTCAGGCGACTGGAAACTGAGTTAGATGCTGCTGACATGAAGAGGGACGAGATCATGAAGGAGTTCCGTAGTAACATAAGATCTGAACATGACCGTTATGCAGAATGTGAACATCACTTAGCTTTGGAAGAATCACAGCTTCGATTACAGGTGATCCACAGTGAGAACTTACAATCTCGACTAGCGATTTCTGAGAACAGAGTATCTGAAGAATCTCTAGCTGAATCAGGCGGCATGCGGGACATGAGGTTAATGGGACTACGTTCTGAACTACACATGAAACAAAGTCTTTTAGATCGAATGCAACAGCAACTGACTGAATCGAAGAATCAGTATCATGAACTTTCCTGTCAACAAGCCAGAAGATCATCACCAAGCAGATCACCGCATGGAGGACCTCTCTATGAGATGTACATGCAAGCCGTGCGTGAACGTGACAGCTTGAAAGAATCCAAGGCCGAAGTTGACAAGTTGTACTTGCAGACTAGATCTGAACTCATTGATACTGAGGACCTGCTCAAAGTATTCCAGCGAAACTTTGATGAAACTGGTAAGAAATATCAAGATGCTCTGAACAAGATCGATCACATGAGTAACAATCCGAATGTGACGAGTACCTTGTTTGACAGTTTGCACAATGAAATCAATGACAGGGATACAGCTATTGCTCGCCTTCATACTGAACTTGAAGCCCAAAAGGACTCTCTCGAGCGTGCTCACAGGGATGCAGGTAAGTCCATCAAGATG